CTCACATCGTTCTCGGTTCTTAATTTCTTCTTGTAGAAGGCGAAGTAACTCATCAAGTTTCCAATCTTTGTCTTCTTTAATCTGTCGCCCTAGCAATATTCGAATGTCCTCTGGAATTTTGGTCATCAATATAGGCACCAAAAGACTACCGTATGATTCAGTGGGAACTTCTAGAGCTTGTAGACCTCTTACATGTGTCTCAACTTTGTCGTACATTTGTCGTAGTTTCTTTACGTCATTCGAAACGTTCAATGATGTTATTTTTAACAAACTGTCCATATGACCGCTAATTATTACTTGTTTATTTCCAAAGCGCTCTTGTAATAATTTCACCGCTGTATCGTAGTTTTCTGCCGAAAGTTTTAGACCTGCGTTTGTCAACGCTGCTGGACCTTTCAAGAGACTCATGAGATAATTAAATTTGTCCACCTTAGACAGTTCATCGTTCTCCGTAAAATGTATTTAATACAAGTTTCGGTAGTTTTGCGTGTTTATTCTTCGATCCATTGCTTTGCGATAAACTCTCTGCTTCTCCGATTAAATTGTCTCCGTTGTTTTCTAGTTGTTGGTGTAATTTGCTCTTCGACAAAACGCTGTCGATCTCTACAATAGCTCCATAAATATTCTCGGTAAACTCTCCAGACTCTTCTATTTCGCTCGTAATTTCGCTGTCTTCAATAACTTCAAGTATTTCTTCGTCTAAAGTTTTCAGTTTCTTTAATCTCTGTTCTAAGGAAATCTTGAGTTGTCTCAATCTGCTTTCATTCGACGAGTCATAATTCTGTATTACGCTTTTCACATTTCCTAATATTTTCGAAGCGTAAGCTCGGTGACCTTGGCGTATTTTCTTCTTTTTCGCAACGGTAGACATCTCTCAATCGTTTAATCCGACTCTCGAAGGACCATGTATAATATTTTCGACTAATCTGCTCTGTTAAATATCAAGTTTATTATATTTACGCTATTGTTTACACCAAATCCCCATATTCTCGTCGCTTTTGTTTTTATATTAAATGTCAATCACGCTATAATTGTCTTTAGTGTCATTACTATAAATATCAATGTCAAATAGTTAATTTCCGGTTATATTAAAGTTTATAGTTTATCTACAAGTACTAACAGTTCCTACATACAGCACAATAATGACGCTGTGAGACTACGAACAGAATTACACTTAGGGCATATAGTTTTATAACTACGAGGATCCTCAACACGAGTACAAAGAGGCAATATAGCACTTAAACATTGCCGACTTAAATGACGAAAGACTATCCGTATTCAAATTAAGTTACTCAACGAGATGGTTCCATATTCGAGTTGCCCGAATCATGAAAAATCTTTGATATGTTACCGTTTTGCATTTTGGCACGACGAACTTAGGACTGTTATTGGCGGAGGATCTAGTCGATCTGGAAGTGCGGATAGTTGGATGTAGTGATGCTTCGATGATTACTAGTTTGTGAGTTATTTTATAAAAGAGTACCATGTCTAGATATCCATGCCAATAGCAGATCGGTAGGAGTCCTACTGAACTTCTGAACTGGATTTGCCACAGTCGTCAAATATCTCGTACACTCATATAGTGGAGTGCATATAATCAATTGCTCTCCACAATTGATTTGATTGCCAACAGCATGGGGAATGAAGCGGAATTTGCTCGGCACTATTTCAGTTTAGACAAGAACCGGTTTTGCGAGGAACCTCCTTTGGGCTCTTTATTGCTTAACATATCACTTATCAAATGTGGTTTGAGTAATTATTATAACATTTCTCATACACTCGATTATTCTAAATGAGATTCTAAATGTGTCTAGTTGCTTGGAGGTGAACAAGCGGAAAGTGAAAAAAAGGAAGATAACAACCCAATTGCTGATGAAGAACATGGAATTGAGATGAGTGAAGATTTTGAAGGTGAAACTCATGATGTCGAGAAAAGTGGCGAATCCAGTGACGAGGAAGATGAATCTGGGGATGAAAGTGAGAATCTGGAGCAAAAAATGGGAGATGTTGATGGAGCTGATGAGACGTTAGATGAAAAATTATGGGCTGATTCAGATGAAGAAGATGATAATGATGAGAAGGTATTCTGTCATTTTGTTGTATGTGTATTTCATAATTGCTGCCTTTTATTGCATCTCATCTAAGCACTCAAAATTGCACAGTACAATCATCACCCCCTCCTGCAAAATACAGCTAAATCGTACAGGTTTTTTCAGGAAACTGAACATGATTAACAAACTTATTGCCATCGAGAGAAAAAGCGTCCATTGTGACCTAGCACTGAATATCACACCTGATGTCTGTTGTACTTACAGTATATTAGACCGCGAGCAGTCCCTTGGGAAAAAGGAGGGACTGCCGACAACGCATCAAGAAACGAAATACGCGTTGCCCACACAACGCAAAATCCCCATTGGTCGAGATCGATGTGCCTGTCAATCACATCTGATATGTAGTAATAATATGCTATAAATAATTTCCAGACTGAATGTTGATTTTATAAATAAACACCACATTAACGGTTCCTATTGGATAGATTTAATTGGATATAAGTAATGTTTATGCAAAGGCGGAGCCAACTTGACAAGAGCGAAAAGTGGACGTATTTGAGGCATTTCGTTTCTTTATGTGTTGTCGGCAGTTCTTCCTTCCCATCGTACGCCCGGGAAGCTAAACCCGTGGAAAGGAGGGACCGCTCGCAGTCTAACAGTATATCCGTTTTACACCTCCCTCAAAGTGTACTGTCTAGCCAATTGCCGAGCGAATTAAGTTGCAAATTACTTACAATAGGATGATGTAGATGAACGAGGCGCAGGAGCAGAGGGTGAAGGGCAAAGTGAAATGGTTGCAAAAGAAGAAAATCAAGGTAAAATATGATTTCAATGGACCTATTGCCTAACAAACAAAATTTTGATCTAGACAAGTCTAGACACAGATTTCATCACAACTTGAAAGAGCATCACAAGTAGTAATATTTCGAAGTTTCGTTGCGAAATGTTGTAAAATGCAGATAATATAGCCCTGCGAAGTTTGCCGTTTTTCAGTCATTTTGTATTACGATACCTTTTTTTAGAAAGCGGTACCAATTTCCCGTGCTTAATACAAAATGACTGAAAAACGGCAAACTTCGCAGGACTATATTATCGGCATTTTACAACATTTCGCAACGAATTTTTGTCTAGACTTGTTGAGATGGAAATTTTGGTTATTAGGCAATAGGTCCATTAAATTCAATATTACGGCTTGCGAGAAACTGTGTTCTGATACATTTCTGTATCAGCCCACTAAACACTTTAAAACGCAATTAAAATCCTGTTAAATATATATGTGCCATGTTGGCAAACACATAGCAACATGATAGGTAACACTTTTATTTTGGCATGTTTGTCTGCTTAAATTCTACGCATAATCATCATCAAAATTAGCCATACCATACCACACCAAGTGCCATTTCTTTTGGAGTCCCACGTTTACTCCCTGAGACAAAGTTGACAAGGTGGGTTAGATTCGTCTGAATTTATATTGAAGTTTTTCAACTAACAAATCTACCATAATATTGCTTCCAGTGAAAATATGAAAAACGTTCCCAGGAAATCATAACGTTTATTCCCTAGGTTCAAGTAAGGAGAGCAAAAGTAAGCCAAAGACGGACAAAATGGAGGAAGATGAGATAAATGAGTTAGGAAAAGATGAAGACGACATCGGAAACCTGGATGATAATTTTACAGACAATAAAAATAAAATGAATCCTGATGATCCACAACCAGAGGATATAAAGCTTCCTGAAGATCTGGAGTTAGACACTCAAGGGAGTGATGATGATGGTAACGATGATGGTGGTGGTGATGATGATGCCGGTGATGTTATGGATGATACAGCTGGTGAAGAAGGCAAAGGTGAAAACGAAGGTAAAGGTAACTAGCTTTCAATTAATAATGTTCAAATTATGATGAAGTTGAGATGATAAAGTTGAAAATGATAATTTTGAAGTTGGGGATAAGGATGGTGAAGTTGGAGATGATTATTTTGAATTTGGGAATAATGATGTTGAAGTTGTAGATGATAATTGTGAAGCTAGAGATGATGATGTTCAAGTTGTAGATGATAATTCTGAAGTCGGAGATAATGATGTTGAAGCTGGGGAGGATGATGGTGAAGTTGGAGATGATGATTGTGAAGTAGGAGATGATGGCTGTGAAGAAGGAGATGATGATTGTGAAGTAGGAGATAATGATGGCGAAGTTGGAGATGAGAATGGTGAACTTGGAGATTATGATGATGAAGTTTGACAGGAATTAATTTGTCCAAGATGTTCAGCTAATCTCGTACTGATTACGTTTAGTTGGTGATGCCAATAATAGCGATGATGAAAGCGGTCTTCAAGTGATTGAAGATCAGGAAAGTGTTGAAGAAACGAACAAAGAAGATGAAACGAATGAAAATCAAGATGAAGCTGATTTAGAAAAGGTTAACCTTAATATACAAAAAGGGAGCTTTTACTGTTTTTAAATATCCCGACGTATCTTCATCGATCGATATTCTAATTCCTATATTTTATTCTATGTTTTAGGAGGAGGAGGAAGAGGGTGATGATAATGTGAAGGAGAATGAGTGGAAAACAGAATCAGAAACAAAGGTTCGTTTGATACCCAGTTCGTTAAACTTAACGAGTTTCATCTGTTCAATGCATATTTAATGGCTCTTGTCTTTTTGTTTTGTTTTAAATCTGAACTTTGGGACAAGTATTGACTTATTTGATATGACTTGCTAGTGGAGGAGTAGTTGAAGCAATAATGAAGACTTTGTATATTTTCAAAACATCTACACCTACATTTATTAAGTCGGTAAAAATCTTTACATATTATCAAACCAACTGTGATACATTTAAGATAACTGATGAAAAACTATTAAAAGTTAAAACTTGCTTAGGGATAAAAAAAGTTTGTTACTTCATGTAACTCTTGAGTTCGCTCTTAAAAGTATCTATAGTTTCTGATAAGACTATTTCTTTAGGAAGACTATTCTACTCACTTAATGCCCTCGGATAAAAAGAATATTTAAAAACGTCCTTTGTTGCTCGTGGTACTCTATATTTAAATTTATTACTATTACCTGTCCGAGTTTCTTGACTCGATATCGATACGTTCTCAGTATTTAAGTTCTGTAGTCCGCGGCTAATTTCACATGTTTCCATTTCAAACTACTGGTGACACTTTTACATATTTACATGTCAGTCCACCATCAGCAGTTAGTGGGTGAAATTTTGTTAGAATTGTTCTGAATAAATATATGATTCTTTGGTTGTAGGGAGAGAATGTTGAATCAATTGAGGACCAAGGCAATCCTGATGCATCATCATCTGGCCTATCTGCTGGCAATGAGAGATTTGAGCCTACGGATAATGATGAGAGCAATAGAGAGGAAGATAATGAGGGGACTGGTAATAGTATATCGCAGCAGAGTGGACTGAACTCCACTGATAGTTCAACTGCAAATAAAAGTACAGATTTGCCTTCGAATGATACGGTATGATATTAACGGTATTATATGATATATTTTTCCTCGTTTAGATTTACAAAAGTTTATAATTCCACCCGTGGCCGTCCCCATCCCTGTTGAAAATTTGAACTCCCCAGAGACTAACAGTCATATGACTCTCTGAAAGGGAGCACAAAAGTTTTGAAATAACTGAAACTATTATAATTATGATTTCGCTGGCCTCTAATTAACTCGAATAGGCAATTCCAGCTTTTAGTTATGCGTGCAGGGGGTGATGGGAAGTAAAGTATCATATTGCTGATTATGGTGAAAAAATAAAAATGGTGGCCGTGTAAATAGGGAGTGATAGCTTATACTATAAATATTGAAATATTTCGGTTGTTTCGGCAGTTTTTATTGAAATTTTTCAGCATAATCAGCGATGTGATACCTTACTTCCCATCACCCCCTGCGCGCATAAATTAAAAGCTGGAATTGCCTATTGGTTTTACTTAAAAATTGCTAAAATGGCCCTTCTCACACTCCTTCAATTAACAGTGATGATGCGCTGATAATACGCGACGGATTTAAATGTACCTATTGTGTTTGTTCTCTTTACGTAGAGGTCCTACCGTAAAGAGTTAAACAAGTCGAGAGCAGATCGAAGTCTTGGATCTTCTGAAGAAACAGCATATAAGAAACCAAAGGTTTTAGATTCGTCTGAAGACGGTCCCAAGAACAGCCAGGTATGTAAAATTGTGTATATTATAGTCGCTGTCAATTGTATACGAACAGTGTCAGCTATGCCATGATTTAGAGGTGAACCGCAATTGATATCCAATGGAAAGTCGATGTTCAATGGCTCTGATCGGTGATGTCTACCGAGCGCAGAGAGGACGACCAAATATGTTTCGACACATGATAAATTGGACGTCTGAACCGACGTCGCGCCGTGTCGAATGACTGTATGTTTTTTGTCGAATTAGGTTTATCGAACTTAATTAATGGACCATTTGCATTATAGACTAAGTTTTGGTCTAGACAAAAATTTCATCACAGCTTGAAAGAGCTTCACAAAATTAGTAATATTCCAAAGTTTCGTTGCAAAATGTGGTAAAATGCGGATAATATAGCCTTGCGAAATTTGCAATTTTCAGTCATTTTGTATTACAAACGGGAAATTGATGCCCCAACACCCGATTGGGCTCTCAATTTCCCGTGCGTAATACAAAATGACTGAAAAACGGCGAACTTCGCATGGCTATATTATCCGCATTTTACAACATTTCGCAACGAAACTTTGGAATATTACTAATTTTGTAATGCTCTTTCAAGCTGTGATGAAATTTTTGTGTAGACTTGTCTAGATCAAAATTTAGTCCATAATGCAAATGGGCCATTGATTCAAATGTTGCGCTTTTCGAATTAGGTTCGGGCCGTTCGGCAATGTTTTGGACCAGATCTTACTATAAAGAATATTGTTATGGACAAAACAAGTGATGGGCTTTTTAATTCATTATTTAGCCACAAGACACTTCTTCTGCTGAATTATTTGAACACATACGGAATGAATGCGAAATGCATGATATTCAAGTGTACGATGCGGCAACAGAACAACAAATACAACAAGAAGCAGTTCATTATCCAACTGAGACTGACGCGCAACACGAGACCGAGGATATGGACGAAGACTGGGAACTACCTCCGGGAGAAAACAGTCGTATCGCTGATGTGAAGGTAACAAGTTATCTTGTTGACAGGTTTCAACAAACGTTCTCATCTTCAGCTCACTGCCAAAACTCAAAGTTCTATTAAATTAACCATTCTTTGCGTGATTTTTCTTTCAGGAAGAGGAAAGTGAACGTGGTTTGCGATTTAAACCAGACAAGACGCAGAGTAGCCCACAAAAAGAAACTAATGATGATGATGAAATGTCAACTGAAGATCAAGATGAAGTCGGGAAAGAATGGCAAGATACCACAAGTTCTGTATTCATGGGGAATAACCCATCTTCTGCTGGTGGTGTTGAAGATGTGAGTATAATGTGCTTTTAGGTTTTGTAGTTTACTGTATTTTTCAGTGTATTTTCCCGACCAAATCCTGATCGATATGAAGTTGTGGAGTTCTGTACTTTATTGTATTGTATCCTGGTTTGACCAGGGCTTTAAATTGGTATTGGAATTGGTTTCCTATACTTCCGACTAGCATTTATATTATTTCCATAGCGGGGATTTAAAAAGAACTTCCAGTGTTTATTGTATTGTATTGTTCATGTTATCATTCTGCCTTTCTCCGCTGTTTACTGTCCTTTTCTATTTTTACAGACTGAGGCATTAGATCCAGAGAAATGTCGTAGTGAACTTGAAGAACTGTTGTGTAAATGGCGTGATTTAGAAAAAGGAAGCCCGGAAGAACAAGCCACTGCGCTTGATGCTTGGCATAAATACGAACAGCTGACGTCAGCACACTCTCAGCAATTGTGTGAACAACTGAGGATAGTACTGGAACCATCTGTCGCCAATAAACTGAAGTACGGTTTCCTTGTTGTGTGTTCTTAGGTTTAACTAAATGCCATGTTATATATGCATGCAGTAAAATCTTTAAACATGGACAGCTTTTCACTTTTCAGATATTTTTTCGAAAAGAAATTTCTAAATTACTAAAACTTCATTGACGACTTGACTTGCTCTTGTATACGGTGAACATTTCTTCTTGCCAAGTTTTTTGACGAGTTTATCGTCTATATCCGATGGTCTTTACTGGACGTCCATATAGTTCAGTTTAGCACTGAAAGAATTATCCAATACAAATAATGTTGGTGATTTTTATTAGTCCTCTGACGGAGAAGAATTCGGAAAAAAAACTGATAGAAGTATCTGATATAAATAAAGTTTTTAATTATCTTCTGTTCATAGTATTATTATTAACAACTTTATTGGCATATAATAAGAGCACTGTCTATCTTATTATAACAAGAACAAATGTTATGCCTACTGTGTAGTTCATATTAAATTAAGTTTCTTAAATGTATATAATATATAGTATAGACAAAATAATATATATATATTATAGTAATTAAGGAGTATCCCCAGGTTTAAGGCATCCGTCTCTAAGGCAGAAACATTTTGAAATAAAGCTAGAAAATAGCTCAATTATAACTAAGTCATCGCATGACACCACATGCGTCAATAAGTTTTGTTTTGAATCCGTTGTAATGTTCATCTGAAAAATATTTTTTAATATATTGTTTGCATTGTTCCTAATGCTACTGTAACTTGGACACTCGAATGCAAGTATGGAAGTTGCAGTTAGTGTGAAAATTGGATTTCCATATTTTTTCCAACGAAGATCCATTCTCCAACGAAGATCCCAAACTCATTAATAATTCATGAGCAACGTAGCCAACCATATTGCTTTATTTTGCTAATGTTATAGTACTAGCTGGATACCTGGTGAAGTATATTGATCCAATCCTAGGACTGGATCAAAATTAATTCACCTCACTTTAAGGAGTGATATATATTCGTATGAAATGTCATTTCAAATCCTCCAAATCGGACTGGACTAGATTTCAAGTCCTGGCAAATTGCGCGGACTTGAAATCTAGTCCAGTTCCGATTTGAAATACTACTGTTAGACAGTGCTTCAGTGAGCAACTCTTCAATGAACTTTTTAGAGGTGATTATCGTACAGGAAAGAGATTAAATATGCGCAAGGTTATCCCATACATCGCAAGTCAGTATCGTAAAGATAAGATATGGCTAAGAAGAACAAAGAAAAGTAAACGACAATATCAGATTTTATTGGCTATCGACGATTCTTCCAGCATGTCTGATAATGAATCAAAACAGGTTGGTGTTTATCATAAATATTTTTAAGGGGCATATGACCCGAAAATTGACAGTGTTATTTTTTAGTCTAATTTGAAAGATCATTGAAAACTGTAGACTAACTTCTTTGACGGATTTTTGTTTTCTTGCTTCGTTTTGGAGATATTTCATTTTGTATGATATGCAAAGGACCAACTTTCTACGTCCCACATGCACAATGACTTACTCTAAAAAAATATAATTCTGTCACCATCACATAGATTCGCTCAAAATAAATGAAGAGCACGAGACTTGTCCATAACAACACCCATGTAGGTTTTCCACTAACTGTGTTTAGTCGTATTAGAGATATACAGCTTTTAGGGCCAAATCGTTATGCATATGTGACGCAGGAAGTTGGTCCTTTGCATATCATACAATATCTCCAAAACGAAGCAAGAAAACAAAAATCTGTCAAAGAAGTTACTCCACAGTTTTCAATGATCTTTCAAATTAGACTAAAAATTAACACCATCAATTCGAGTCATATGCCCTTTATGAAGACTTTATGGATATCTCGCTTGTAGAACTGCACGTTGAAAGGTTTCGGCATGTTGATGGCAATTTCGACGAAATACTATATTCATGTTTTAGACCTGATCGTCAGTACCCACGGATAGTAACCAGCTTAAAGTGTACTTTCCATATCTTTGAGTGTTAAAAGCTCAAAATCGACTACGAAAATTATACTATTACTCGCCGAAATGTCTTGTACAAAGCCAAAATCAGAGTTGGCAACATATCTAGTTTTGAATTTTTTTCTGTGTTGGTGTAGTGTACTCAGGTGAATATGATATTTGTGGTGTTACTCTGAGTCTATATCCACACCGGGCGAGCTTGAAAAATATGCCCGGCCACGGTGGGATTCAGTGTTTGACTCAGAGTAACACCACAAATATCATATCTAGTTTTCTTTATTAATGCCTATACTCTATGAAAATGGCAGGTGGTCAGAAAATACCATCAAACAAATTTTGTTGCACATTCTCAGGTTTTGGCCGGCGGTCTATAAGTTTGCTAAAATCTGAACCTCTTTTTTGTACACAAAGCTACTGAAATATAGGGCTTTTTACTTTTACTTATAGTTAGCCTTTGAATCACTCGCAATCATCACTAATGCTTTGACAAGACTGGAAGCCGGCGAAATAGCAATATGCAGGTACGACTTCTTATCGAAAGACAGTATATTGAGGGCTTTCTACATTTTCTTGGAGCAACCTAGCTAATCATTTCTTACTTGTTTTTCCTGTCTAGTTTTGGAGAAGATGTCCAACTACTTCATCCATTTCACGAGACGTTCACGGAACAATCGGGTGCAAATATTCTTCGTCAATTTCGCTTTGAACAAAAGAAAACAAAAATCGCACAGGTATGTTTTCGTTCCGAAAGGGTCTTGGCATATAATGCGATCAAATATGTGAACCCGTTTCTAAACTCTGACATACAACCGAAATGAGGAATGTAGTTGATTTTGAAGGGGCAATCAGGGGTATTTATTGTTATCAGTGACATAATTTTTTACCGGCCCCCAATTTTGGACAGGTTATTTTGTTGCACTATCCAGGGGCAATCTGAGGGCAAACAAAAGGGACAAATTCAAGCTTGCTAATAACACAGAATACTATACAGAAGGTCATCTCCATTGTTTTTTGCTTAAGCGCTATTCGTCATGATTCGTCACTCGGCAAGTACCGTAAACAGAAGTAGTCACCCCCCTGGAAATATCCAAAATGGCGCTTTCTTCCGAAAGCCATGGATATTCCCAGGGGGTGACTTCTTCTCTTTTGGGTGCTTGTTGAGTGGCGAATCATAGACGAATAGCACTTGCACAAAAACCAATGGAGACGGCCTTCTGTGTAGTATTTTGTGCTAATGGGGGCATTCCTCGTGCGATTGTGAATTTATACACTTTACTTTTACAGGGATTAGACGCGTGTACAAGTGTGATGACGTCAGCAAGGTCACGTGTAAACATCGGAAATGACGTATCACAACTTCTGCTTATTGTTAGCGATGGCCGCGGGATTTTTCTTGAAGGGATTGAGGTAGGTTTTTAAATATCACAAACTTACCTGAAATCCTCTTTTAAAGGACATTGGCAATAAAAAAAATTGTTTAGGTCATTTGAAAGAACTCCTAAAACTATATATTAAACTCTATTACAGATTGTTTATATCTTGCTTAGTTTTCAAAATATTTAGACTGAAAAAAGTGAGCTGTTCGCCATCTTGGATTGTTGAGGATATGCATGTTACGTCAAGAGAGGCAGTCATGCTATTTTTTTATCTTGAGAGTAAGCGATGAATATGGGTGCAAATGTCGTTTCTGGTTGCTGTCTGAAATTTAGAAGTAATTAAAAACATTTCAAACAATTTTGAATTGTTCCTCGGTCATTTTAGAGTAGTTTTATATGGTTAACCCAATTCCTGACGTCATCAAAACCATAGTTAATGTTGAGGTCATGAATTAGTCCAAGATGGCGAACAGCTCATTAATTTCGGTCTAAATATTTCGAGAACTAGGCAAGATATGACAAATCGGTAATAAAGTTTAATATATGATTTTAAGAGTTCCTTTGAATAAGACCAACTGATTTTTTATATAGTGGCTATTGGAGCTGGAGATATATATTCACCGTGTTTTTAGGACTATCAAAAAATTTATAACTATTTCTTTTTTATTTTAGACCGTCCAAAGAGCAGTCAGAAAGGCAAGAGAAGCGGGAATATTTTTGGTATTTGTGGTCCTCGACAACCCAACAAATAAAGACTCCATCCTGGATATAAAATCTCCCATATTTCGGCCAGGCCAAATGCCTGAACTCAAGTCATACATAGAACAATTTCCCTTTCCATTTTATATAATTTTGCGTGATATCAGTTCGCTACCGGAGACGTTGAGTGATTCTTTGAGACAGTGGTTTGAGTTGGTGTCGAATATGAGCTGATAACGATATTAGTATAAAGATATTAGTATAACGATATTATTTTTGTATAATGAAAGATGAAACGGTGCAACCGGCTACAGAGTAGACACCATACAGAGGTCTCACTTCTTATTTAAAATTTCAGCGTAAGGGATTTCCGAGTCCGTCATGTTCTTAGAAAATGCCCTAAGGGGCTGACCATTTAACTTTTGAGGGGGGGGGGGGG